TGGATTGATCAAGAATTGAAAGTGCATGTTTCCATGCAGAGACAATAATGGAAACTGTTTTGCTTAAGCGAAGAGCAGTGGCTTAAGGAGCAAGGAAAATGCCCATGATATGGATGGCTTTGAAAGGAAGGAATAAGGGGAAGGACAGCACTGGGAAGACCAGGAGTGGAGACAGAGGGATTTATCAGACTGGGTTATGAGCAATGGGAGCTGAGAGAAAAGAAAGTGTAGGGAAGTAGAGTGGCAGTCAGCCCAACAGGATAGGCTGTGTTGGGACACTGGCAGAAATAGAGGAGAAGATGCTGGGAAGATTGGGAAAAGGCAACTGGTTGAGGATATACAATGCAGCTGAGGAGAGGGAATGAAGGTCTTAGGAAAATTGGAGGCAGGTGGAGTAGTAGAACAGTCCAGGGACAGCAATAGGAGTAATGAAGGAGGGGAGGAAAGGAAAGAAAGAATGCAATAGGAAGGTGATGGGTAGCGGGCTATACCATCCTGGGAGCTGCTGAAGGGAAGCGGGGGACATCTACCAGCCTTGTCCCATTTGCCTGACTAACTCAGAACAACCAAAGCTTTCAGAACTTGGGGAATCCGGAGTGGCCTGTCAAACAATTTGTCAGAATCCCTGGAATGAACTGGTTTGTTCCAGCTCATGTCCCAAGTGTTTGTCCACTTTCAGTCTCTACAGACCAAATGCGGAGCAGGTAATCAAGTTAAATTTTTTATGTCACAGGGGGAAAAAACCCAATGGGCAGGAAGGAATAAAATAACTTCAGTGTTTAGGTATAGTAACTTATTTTCAATAAATAAATAAATGATTTATGATCATGTCTTATTCTCCCTTCAGATGAGTAATTGGATACAGGCACTAAGGCCTACTGGAAACAGAATGTCACAAAATATTGCATGGGATAGGAAAAAAATGGGAAGGAAAAGGAATGGGGAATCCCTGAAAAGAACAGTTGATGCAAAGGGGAAAACTAAATAGGAATAAAATGATGTCAAAATTCTATCTGATATATAGATTAGGATCTCCTATTCAACCAAATGACAATAAAGTTATATTAGGATAATCTATTATTGTAGATATTCTTGTGTACATCCACTTTATATCTTCTAATGACAGCTTCATAAGAGTTTTCAGTTCTCAGATTGTGAATGTAACTGCTAGTCAAATGAAAAGCATTCACATTTTTTCCCAAGGAAAAATATTATGTGGCTTATTTCCACTACTCCCTGCCTCTAAAAAATTCTGGGCAATTGTTATAGCTTAATTATGTGCATATTCACTTGGAAATAAATCCCACATTGAACAACAGATATTCTGAATAAATGAGGATTGCAGTTTTAATCCTAAACAGTACTGCTTATTATGCTTGCTTTTATAGAAAAAGAAAGATTGTTACAATTGCTATCCAGGATCTGCTCTGTTCTGTGTTTCCAAGAAGGCATAACTCTTCAATGATAATATAATAAATGTGAATGATCTAAATCCAGAAGTTTTGGATTGTGTTTTTAGGTTGTATAGAAGTGTAATTTAATTGCAATCTGCTGTATTTATGTTGTTATAGTAACAGGCAATTACATATTCTATTTCAAAAACACTTTTATATAAGAAAACTATTGTTACCTGCATATATTTTAAAATAAATTAATCATTGTTTTGAATCATGTTTTAAATAAAATTAAAACATGATCTGGTAATGCTGAAACTTTCCTAGTACAAGCATACTGTAAATGATTTAAAAGATGATGAAGAGACTGATATGTGCTTAGACTGAATAATGTTAAGTTTTATTGTGATTGGGATGGTTTGGGCCGATGTAAAAATCCATTTTCTATAATTAGTAAAACAGAATTTCTTTCTTTCTCTCCCTCCCCCCTCTAATATTGACAAGTAGAAGAGAGAATACAGGGGAAGTCATTACTTGAGTACAGTAAGTGCAGCAGAACCTAAGGATTTTGTTTTGGGGCAGCTATTGAAAACCTGATTCACATAAATGTTCACAGGACTCAGCTAGATGAATCAGTGATCAGACTCAGTTTCAGACAACACCCTATGTAAACAAATAGATGCTGAATGACATTTTTGTGTGATTGTACCAAAAGCAGTGGAGAAGAAAGAGATAATGACCCACCCTACTGGTTTACAATCTTAATAAAGATTTAACTTGATTTTAATGATCCAATTTAAATGAACCCCAACTACCAGAGACCAAAGATAGGATTCTTCCCACTGGATCAAAGTAGTTAGGAAAAAAGAGCTGAATTAGAAATGAATGCCATGAAGTATAGCAACAAAGAAATAGAAGAATTTGAAACTTGATGAGCTACTCAGTGAAGTACGTTGAAGTTACATTGTAATGGAGATGTGTTAAGGTCTGGATAGAAGCTGTGTAGCCTGAGTTCACTCCATTTGTAATGGCCAGCTCTTACTATACAGTACGTACACTTCCACGCACATACTCACTTGAGCATCTGAAAAAATCTTCCATTGTGTCTTCAAACTCCCAAAGAGTCTTATGTTAGGAAACAAATCAAGGAAGCACCTATTCCACTAAAAGGACGAAACTCACTAAGTTACTTTTATATAAGGGGAAGTCTGTGTCTCGTAGTCTATTTCCTTGTAATATCAGCCTTTTCAAATGTGCATATCTTGGGCAAATATATACTGTATCAACATGGTCAAATTATTATGTAAGATGAGCTAGACATATTGAAAAGAGGTGAGAATAGCTCAGAAAAATTCTCACAGAAAACTTTGATAATAGGATTCTGACAGTTAAGAAAACTGGGGAAAATCAAGAACAAGTTCATGTTTACATGTTGTTTATTTATTTTTAATTAATAATCAATGCCTACCTGATTTAGCTTATAATTAGCTATGCAGTGGTTATCATTGGATTAATGCAATAGGTATATATCTTGATCATGCACATTTTAAAGTATTTTTGTTAGATTGATATCGTGTTTTTTATCCAGGAGCTTATGGTAGCATATGTAGCTTTCCTGCCTTCTATTTCCCCCCCTTGCAACACCACATAGGGTGTGTTTTGAATCAACTGAGGATGGTTTTGAATCAACGTCTCCCCATTGCCAATCCAACAGCACATTGCTTGTCATACACTTATACATTTACATCTACTTATGTATATATAACATAGTAATATATCTGATGAGACGGCATTTCTTAATTACCTCTAGCAACCTCATGACATAAGTGCAATTCCTGTTGAGTATGTGCACAGTAATATTATTAGATTCTAAAGCTGATAACAAAAACCACAGGAGCATATGAAATCAGTGCAGTGATAAATATAGGAATTCATATAGTTTTTCTCTTGTTGTAACCACCTCTTAATACATGTTTTACTAAATACAAGTTTTACTAGATTAATTCTGCTACTGATTTTTAGGATAAGTGTTCAATACAAAGCATATGAGCTAATAAAAAGAGAGTCCCAGACAGAGCAAATTGTTTGTCCTCTTCCCACATCAACAACCAGTTTTCCCTGCATATTGGAGAAAAGGAGCCTTTCAGGTAAACGGAAATGCTTTTTGTAAATAAGTGTGATTCTTAAAATCTTATGGTATTTTAGGAGTAATGGTTTTAGTGATAATTAAGAATATGTAACTGCCTTCCAATTCCGTCCAGTTAGATTTGTCCAGGTATAAGCATCTATAAGGTCCAGTTGGATCTATAAGTATTCTCAAAAAAGAAACTTATTTGAATTAAATGTATATGATTTTTTCATATAAAGTGCAAATTATGTTTTTTTTTCAAGTTCAGATCTGGTGTTAAATACTGTCCTCCAAGCTATCTATTTATTCAAGTCTATTCTTCTTCAGTATCTCAAATAGAGCATTATACCTAGGTAAGTCCATCTCTAGCAGTAGAATGGCAATGAATGGAGTGAGAAGCCTTTAAATAATACCACCAAGAGACATCTGATATCTAGTTAGATTGTAAGAGTCACTCAGCTCTCCATTAAATGCCTCTCCACTTGTACCCCATTCTTCTGAGTTACTCTGATAATTAAGGGAACACTTTAAATTTTTTACTTTGATGAAAAAGCACTCTTAATCACAAAATGAAGTGATTTTTATAGTCTTTTTTTTTAAAAAAAAAACACGCACTAATCACGCAACAGACTGAACAGAAATGTTGAACACCTTATTATTAAAGAAAAAAAGTGGGTGGTATGTATCTTCCTCAATCTTGGGTCCTCTGGCTGTGTGTCTCTTATGCATGTATGTATGTATATATCCCACATAGGTGCTATAACCATATATGCTTTTGTTGGTTACAAGGACCTATTGTCCAGGCATGGCAACTTTATCATTTTGTTTTGTTTCATTTCCACAGAGCTCAATTTGCATTAGCCTTCCAATATCAATAACCCAGAGACTTATTTCTCATTTGGGAAGCATGAACAGCAGTTCTTATATATGACCCTCCCTGTTTTTTCCCAGGGAGGCAGGCAGGGAACTCCATATTTACATCCTCATACAACAACATGGAACTACCACAATTGCACTTCATCGACTTCCCTCACCTAATTTGCACATTACTTTCATGGCAGAAAATTCCTAAGTGGCTCTAAAAGTTGCCTTTCCTTCTCCTTAGCCCAAATACCTGCTGAAACCAGACCGGGAACAGGACCAGGACCTGTTGAGACATGCCAGGGATGATAATTAAGAGGTCTTCTCCATAACCAGCTGGTTTGACTTTCGCTGGCTCATTCACAGATCCTAACTCAGACAGGCTGGCTGACTGCACCTAGCACATTTATTGCTATTAATGCCCGGGAGAGGAGGAGCAATTGAGGTGGGATGGCAAAGACGGGGGACGGAAGGGGGCTTAAGGGGCCGGCATAGGATTTTGAGCCGAGGAGGGCGGAGCTGCAGAAATGGGAGGGGGTTAAGAGATAATCCACATCTCCTCGCAAAGCCATACGGTTCTCCAACCCCCCCACCCCTCCCTTGACCCTCAGTCTCACCGTGTGGGCTGCGTTGCTGGACTTCAGCGGCGGCAAAGCGATCGGGGACGGCGGTCCGGTCCCAGCACCCGTCCGGGAAGTCCCTCCAGCGCCGATCCCCGGGGAAGGCTGGAACTGGCGGCTACTTTCTCCTCCTCCCCTGCTCCCTGCCGAGGGAGGCAAAAGACACCAGCTGAAAACGACGGGGGACCGAGCAGGATCCGGATCGAAGACAAGGGGGAGAGGAAATGAAAAAGGGGGCCCGAAGTTGTCCCTTCCCCTCTTGTTCCTCCGGCTGCCATCGCAATATTGTCTGAGGGATCAGCAGGGGTTGATCCCAAACCAGGCATCGAAGCGCGGGGGGAGGGGGGAAAACACATCAAGTGTGTCCATAAGGAGGGGGGGGGGGGGGGGACGTTCCCTCATTAACCCAGCTAAACCTTCCACAAATGCTTACCCCCCCCAGCATTTAAGAGCGTCAAAGGGAAATCCAATGTGGCCGCAAATGGAGGAGTTTTGCAGTAGTCCTCCAAGCTAGCCGGCCCGCTGCCTTGCTCCGCTCCCTCAGCCACGACCCCCTGCTAGACCATTTCTACACAAAACCAGTGCAAGAAGCGCTTCTCTCCGGCACGTTTGCCTAAACTTGCCTTGTTCTCACGCCGAAAAGCTTGTCAACCGCTAGTAGCTCCAGGAATCTCCCTCCGGGAGATTTTAAAACGGGGGTTCAAAGGGAGGCTGCCCGCTTTGGCAAGAGGGCCTTCAGTCCGGGAGGGGGGCGATCTTTCTTTCACCCAGATGCGCGCGCCCGCGCTCTCCCACCCCTCCTCGGACTCGGCCACTCCGGCCTTGGGATAGGAGGAGGGGACCGGGGCATCCCCGGGAGAAAGGCGGCAAGGAGGCGAATCCGCTTCGGTTGTGGCCAGCTGCTTCCCTACTTACCGGCTGGGCAAGCGGCGGCGGCCGAGGCGGCCCCACCGGCACTAGCACCAGCGACACTGGCAGACGGTTTCCTGGTGGTTAACATGGCCGCTGACGGGGAGGGAAAGAGGAATGCATTTCAGGGCTGCCGTGACTTCTCCGGATTGTCGCTGCCTCTGTAGTTCGGCCTCCGCGATCGGCGGTCCCCACCGTCTTCCCGAAGGCAGCAGCCGTCTTCCAGAAAAGAGCAGCTACACCGGGCAGCCGCACGTTCCTCCGTGGCATCCGTCGCCGCCGAGCCCGGGCCCGCCGGGCAACAGCTATTCTCGATCCCAGCCCCCGCCGCCACCGCCTCTTCCTCGTCTTCCTTCTCCAGCGGTTCCAGAGACGACGGCGGCAGCAGCAGCAGGAACGCCGCCGCCGTCCCCCGCCCGAAACACATCACCTCGCCAGTTTACAGGATCCCCGGTCTCTCACGTTAAACAACTGTGTGGTGGTGAAAGAACAGAAAACAGCCCCCTCCACCCACCCACCCCCCTCACGCATCCACCCACCCACCTCCTCGTCCTTCCCTCCCTCGGAGAGACGGGCACAGTGACCGCCGGCCTCTCCCCCTCCTCGCTCTCCTTTGGCCCTCTCCGCCCACGCCGTCGCGCAAGCCCTTTCAGACGCCTCAGCGCGCCCACGACACTTTCGCTTTCCAAAAAACGGGCTCGAGGCTCCGCCAGAACCAGTCTCCGCCCCACAGCGCAGCCGCCCGGCAGCCTGTCTGGGCCCTCCTCCTTCCCACCGAGGACTGCAGCTGTCCTCCGCTTGAAAGAGGAGCAGAAGTGACCGTTCCCTCCTCATCCTCTGCAAAGCGGGAGGGGAGCGAGGAAGAGTCTAGGAGCGCAGGCACTGCAATGGCGGTGTTTGGCGGTCCTTTCACCACCAGCCCACCCGGACAGAGTTCAGATGGCCGGCTCATGTTTAATGCACAAGCGGAGGCTATCCCCGCCGAGGGTCAATATGTCGGAAATCTCAGCCTATTCTGTCTCTAGTCTAGTTTCAGGGCCTTTAGTGCAAATAGATCTTTGTCATCAGCTATGTTCTCTGTTGGTGGGACATAACAATGTCCAGCTTCTTTCAGAAAATGCTCCACTGGCATTCTTGCAAAGGTAAACCTTCCTTTTTTAGAGAGAGAACACCCAGGAAAAGAAAAGAATAAGAAAGTAATGAAAGAGAATACAGATGACGCTAAGAAGGAAAGCAATGGAATGCTCTCAGGTTATGAGCGACAGTTGCCATAAACCCTATTGGGGTATTGTAAGTATTTAAGAAGCATGGGAGGTATAGCTGAAAACATCTGGAAAACATTAAGCCAACAATCCCCATTTAAGGAGAAACAACTGAAAGTGCTTTAAGTGAAGGCTAAGAAACACTGACCAGGAGAACATATTTGAAAGACAATGTGTTTGTACTGCTGTTTTTCCGGTGATAAGAAATTCTTAGAAAAAAATGGAACTTCTCTTCCAAAATCACTAATCTCACTACTGTATGTCCTTAATGTTCCTTTTTAAAAAAAACAAACAGCTATGATGAAAACAAACATCTTTTGGTGCTGATAAACTTATTATCTCTATGGTTGAAACAAACTCCTCCTCCTTAGAAAGCAAGGAGCAAAACACACTCATTTTGACTTGTGGCTTCTGTGTCTTGCTGACTGCAGATATTTGTGTACACTGGGAGGGGAAGGAAGATAATATTAGAATTTAGTTACAGTACAATTTGTAATGAGAGGTTTTCTCTTTTGAAGAAGAGAGCAAGGGAGTGTCAACATATAAGTTTTGTTTCTATAGCATAATCCAATTTCTACAGTACAGTACAGTGCAGGATTAAATGTGCAGAGTGATCATTTATGCTATCAAACGTGTGTGTGTGTTTCAAACCAATTGATAACAGCTGTGGGAGTAGTCAATGTAGGGTCAGGATTCCAATATCAGAGGGTAACAAATGTGTGCTGAATTAACTTCTCAAATGAGAGAAACAGCTGTCTGACCCAGATATGTAGGGCCAATACATGAATAGGATTCTTGAAGAAATAAAAAATTCCAACTTTATATTTTTATTAATGAAGTTTTATCACTGTATAATTTGTCAAAATATTAACAAAGTTCATATGCATAAAAACAGTTCTCACTGAACTTAATATGCTTTCACAATTTCTTTCAAAAAGAAAGATAGAGTCTTGTGGTTCTTGTATTTACTCAGTTGGACGAAAAATGTATATGAATATTCTGATTTTCATTATACAGTCAGCAGTACAATGGCCTGCAGCTTCCCTGGCTTCCCACAGTGCAGCTGAACCTCAAGCTATAGGGAAGAAGGCATTGATTGTGAGGGAAGTTCTCAAACTGGGCATTCTTAGCCTGAGAAATGGGGGTAGCCAGGGAGGTTTCAATATGATTTTATTTTATATTTAAAACATTTATATTTTAACAAATCTAAGACATAATAGGAAATAAAAAAACGAGTCTTCAGTAATGACCTAAATTAAAAATACCATGAAGACAAAGCTGAAAGAAAAGAGGTAGAAAACTCTTGCAAAAGAACACTTTTGGGAAATGAAAGTAGATTTTTGAGATCACTTTTGGCACAGCATTAACTGAAACTATTCTAAAGGTTTTTCCCCCCAAATTTACACAGCTGTTGGTCAAAAAAAAATCCAGAGACCTGGAACAAAACGTTTCAAAGTCTTTTAATGTCTTCTGAAATATGTAAGTTTAATAATACCGTAATTGGACACTTATTAATAGTAACAGAGTTAACCCAGGATAAGAAGGGTGGCCAATAAATTTTACAAACAACAAATAGTTGATAACTGCTGTCCTCACTTGGTTTAAATTTTAGAGCAGTGTAAAATTTGACATGAGAAGATCTTCTACTGTAGATTCTTTCTTTATATAAGGAATGATGCCAATCAAGCAGAAATCAGGTTTGCCACAAAAAGGCTTTATTGTGCAAATTTATGCAAAATACTTCAGATGCACTAATGTTGAATACTGAGGTTTCTAATTTGTGTAACCTTTAAAACTTTACCTATTTATCTCTAAGGATTTCCTGTTTTTCAATCTTATTTTAACTGAATTCCTTTAACTTTTAGTTTTTAACCTTGGAACTTTCTCTGCATAACAAGTTCATGTATTTCTTCACTTCATCTCTCTTGTTCCTCACTCTTTGATTGTTTTTTATCTCTATTACCATTTTCTTAACTCTTTCACAAATATCTTGGATTTTTATTACTTTTATTATCTTGAATAACTTTCTCTTCCCAAGGTCACTTGCTCTACTTCTTCCTTCAAGCTTCTGGCTTTGGGTTTAGTTCTTACAATAGAATACAGAAGTCATTCCTCCTGTTCCCCAGCCTTCATCATTCTCTTAAAGGCATCTGTGGGAATTTTCACCCTTGCTATAGTTCTAGCCCATTGTAGATTCCACACAGCTGTTTTATGACCTCCTTTTTTTGTTTGCCCCATTGTCACCATCCTTAATGGACTATAAATGACAAAGCTCTCCTTTGAATATCTATTCTTCAAGTCATCTTTTGCCTGGGACTCCTGACACTTTTGATCTGCTGGGTTGCTGATTACAACTTCTCTGCTCCTCTTCTCATCTGCAGATAAACACACCTCCAACAGCACCGTCCTACAGCTCAGAAGTTCATCTTCATTCATCTGAAATGTCTTCTGATTCTTGAAGTGATTATTTTCTACTGGCTTTGTGACTTCTGACCTCTTTTTCCTTTTTCCCAGCAGTGATCTCCAACTACCTTTGTGGTGCTCTATCAGTTACCCCTTCTCTAACCCAACAGTCCCTCTCCTCTATTAGATCTCAGCTATCCCTATTTAATACTCTTCTTTAATACTTCTCAGCTTTGCTGAGATACTTCTCAGTGTGCCAGATATGCAGTCCTGGGAGACATTCACAAGTGACTAACTACTTTAATGATGGACCAGCAGGGATTGCTTTTTGATAACCCTCAAATCAGCCATGCTGTCTCAGGATATGCTTTAAAAAACACCTACATTTGGGGTTTGCTCTCCATATAAATCTTACACAAATTTCACACTCTGACCATAGTACAAAATGACATCCACATGAAAAATGACAGGCTTTCTTACATAATTTTTGCCTATTTGCAGATTTCAGAAAAAGATTCATGGGCAATGTGCAGTTCACAGCAAAAGGCAAAGCAATGTTGTGGTAATATAACCTATTGATCATTTTATCATTTTCTGTAAGGCCT